TTCTGTAGAAACCAACAGTTGTGTAAATATGTGGGGATTTTGGGTGGGAATGCAGGTTATGGACCAGGATACCTAGAAATTATTTTCATTGCAGAAACGGTGTTGACTGTGACTCAGTATCTAGATAGCTGCTGCCTAGAGTTTCTAAGTGTGGATTTGAAGGCATTTATAAAGAATTCATTTGGATAATTTGATTACTCTTTGTTGTAGCTCTGCCTTTGACACAAAAACTGGGTTGCGTGTGGCTGTGAAGAAGCTGTCCCGACCATTTCAGTCCATCATCCATGCCAAAAGGACCTACCGAGAGCTGCGGTTGCTTAAGCACATGAAACACGAAAATGTAAGTTGAAGGAGATGGTATGAAATATTTCTCTGAAGTTGGACTATCCAGTGAGCATCCATCATGATTGTATTTAAGATCTTGCTGCATATGATTTTTTCCTAATGCTAAATACAAAGCTTGCAGTAGTCCAAGGGATTATAGTTGTAAAAAAGCATGCAGAGTAAAAAAAACAACCCAAACCCCAAAAAAACCACAATAGCCAATTTTGTGTTAAAAAATCTTAAATGTTCTATAGAATATAATCTTGAAGTTACAGTTTAGCAAGTTCATGCTGTCATAAAGGTTTGGGACACAAATGATGTCACTTACATTCTTGTGTTTGCTTGCTGTAGTAAACTGCAGTTTTTGTTATGTTAAGCATTTATTTAAAAAAAAAAATCCCAAAGTTTGTTTTTAGCGGCTTCTGGAGGGTTTTTAATACTTGTTTTGGCTTGCCTGTATCAGAAGGGTGGGAAGTAGATGTTCACTAGATTCCTGTAGGTAAAATAGAGAGGAAAAAAGGGGTGGTGGTGAAGGGGTGGAAATTAGATGGCTTTTCATCAACAAGGAAACAAAACAGAATGTGACAAAGTTTATGTTGAACTATTTTTTGATATAAGTTGCATTTGGTATAGAACACAGTTGGCTGACCCATTTCTTGTGTGTGTGACATTAACACACCAACATATTTATACACTGCAAACTGTTTGGAGCAAGCATTACATGCAGTGGAGCAAAAAGTCTCATCACGTGCAAATCTGGAAAGTATGGCAGTTTAAGGGGCTTGAGCATAAGGTAGTTTTCTATATCCTGTATGTAGTCTAGTTCATTATGATCTTGAGCAAGTAAATGAACCTGCAGAGCACTCAAGTGCGTCTGCATTATATTTTCAAGTTTCAGAAGGCCTCGTTAGCTTACATAAAGCACAACACTGAGCAGATGGAAATAAAAACATCTACTGGAAGGAGTAGCTTCTATGCCACAAAGGATCTTAGTAATTGTATCATATTATGCTATGAATATGTTTCACAACTTTACTATTTTCTTTCTAGGTGATTGGCTTGTTGGATGTGTTCACCCCTGCCAAGTCACTAGAAGAATTCAATGATGTGTAGGTAACTTCTCTGAAGACTGCAACAAAATACCTTTTGTATCTTCTTTTATGTCTCCCAGATTATTACAGAAATACCTAACACCTTAATTCATCTGCCATCATTCACAAATAATTCTGAATTCCAGCACAAAGATACTAGGACATCCTAAGCTATTGCCCTTGTCAAACTTGTTCACTTGGTGTGTTTTATTGACCAGTGCTGTTGGAATCAGTGTACTAATCTGCTACATTATTTAAAGTGTGGTGGACATATTTTGTTCATTAACATGCTTTGGGACAGTCAGCCCTGCTACTGGAGATGCATAGAGAATTTTCATCCTAATCCTGTTGAAGAGATTGCTTCATAGCCCACGTGTTTCCTTCTGATAATAGGTACTTGGTGACACACCTTATGGGAGCAGACCTGAACAACATTGTGAAATGCCAGAAGCTCACCGATGATCATGTGCAGTTTCTCATATACCAGATTCTTCGGGGGCTGAAGGTACGTGCATCTGTCCTACCCAAATGCTCATCAACAGGAGGTGCAAGTTCTTGAGGAGTGTTATGTCCTCAGAGATTCTTGTGAGTACACAGTGGGGCTTCTGTAACTTTCCTAATGTATCGTAGGACAACTTTATATTATCGTTCTTTCATTTTATAGCTCTTTGGAGCTCTATATCAGTAAGGTTTCCTATTATTTTTGTGTATTCCTGGGGGCAGAGTCTGGAAAACAATGAACTGATGCCCTACAATCTGCTCTGACTATGAATTTGCCCTTTCTTCAGTTTTGTTTACTTGTGTGGTTCCACTCAGGTGACAGCACTCCTGGGTGTTCCTAATGAGAGACAAACTGGAACACCTACCTACTTAAAACTTACAGACACACAGCCAGGTCCTTCTGCAGACAAGCTGTAGCATTTGAATTGTGTGGGCTGGTGTAGGGCAATATTTTCTACCGAAGAAATGAAAAGGAGGCTGCTTGGACTGTTATATAAAATTTATCATCTTTTTTTTTTACAGTACATCCATTCAGCTGACATAATACACAGGGTGAGTGTTTGTTCTAAGATTGTTTTGGTACAGGAAACAATGTTTTTAAAAAATGAAGCAGAGAATTTTACCATGTAGCACTGATTGAAGCCAGAAGAAATTTTCTGAGAATTAGTTTGGTTAAATAGTAAAAAGATTAAACATGGGAAGTGATTATCAAGATCTGTAACTTCTGTTTCTGCCTGTGTTCAGCTTGTATCTTTGTGAAGTAGCTTTTCTATTAATATACATATATTGCACTGGTTTTGCAGTAATCCTTTATGCATTTTTGCTTATATGTAACACGTCTGAGGATGTCAAATCTCTGACTCTGATAAAATACTTTACCCAGAGTTGGTATTTACACTGAGTTAGAATCTATATTTCTATCTGCATTTATATTTTTATCTACTTCAGACTTGTGAAACAACACTGTTGATGTTTAATTTTTTAGGATTTAAAACCTAGTAACCTAGCTGTTAATGAAGACTGTGAGCTAAAGGTAATGTAATCACAAGATCTGATTGGTTTGACTGAGATTTGAGCGAATGCTGCGTGGATGTCCCTTGCAATTAAAGGGTCAAAATAACTCCTTTTGAAAATACTTTTGTAGCCCAAGATACTAATGTGCTTCCCAGATGTAAAGAGATGTAAGGATGTGTTTTCTGTATCTGTTTCTGTGTTTCTAATGAATCATAATGAAAGTGAAGAGCTAATAGATTTAGTTTGGGTTTAGTTGCTTTGGAGACAAGATATTGAGACGTAATTCTTATTGTCGAGTCCTATACTGCTCTAGGCTAGTGTATTTTAACTGGTTGTGAAATTTGGTTTCATAATCTGTTTTTGCAGCTCCACTACCTCTCTTCTCCCCATTCCAGTGATTGCTTGATTGTTTGCTCTAGCTGGTTTGCATTGTTCCACTGCAGTAGTTGGTGTATGTCTTTTCTGTAGATCCTGGATTTTGGCTTGGCCCGACACACAGACGATGAGATGACGGGTTATGTGGCTACCCGGTGGTACAGGGCCCCTGAAATCATGCTGAACTGGATGCATTACAACCAGACAGGTAATGCCTCTAACTAACACAAGGCTTTTCAGTTTCTGAATGGTGGGGAACAAAGAGATTGTCCTTGTACATGCTCCCTTCCATTTGATGGAATAAGTCAGCAGTCATGGTAATTATGCTTCAGTAAGGGAGCTTAAAAGAAGCAAGTCATAGAATTGGTATTTGAACCACAGTCTGTCAGATGTAAGTCAAGAATCATTGGGATAGCATTGACAAGACGGCTTTAAATATGAACCTTTGAAACTGCCATCAGTAAAATATTGTCAGCATTTATCCATTGTTTTCCCTAGCATAGTAGTTTTTAAAGTAAGTGACTGGAATGGATCTGGATGAGAAGGTGTGCTTTTAGGAAGCTGCTGGGAATACACTGAAAAATGTCTGCAGTTATGCTGTGAAGAAATGATTGAAAAGTATATAAATCTATCCTTTCCTCTCTTGTTAGCCATTTGTTCAGAGTTTTATCTTCCTCACAGTTTCCAGTATCTTCTCTCCAGCACACCGCACTTCCTATTTGCAGATCAGGCACAGAGAAGAAAAAACGAAGGCTGAGAATGGTTCTTGTACAGGACAGCATATGCACCATACAAAATAATGTGCTACCCCAATTTCATACGTCAATATTTTTTTCTTTTTTTCTTTTTTCTTTCCTCTTGCATGTATATAGGCTTGTCTTATATCTCTGTTATAAGAGTTGGTGGTTGTTTGGGTAGAATTTATGTAAGGCGAAGTGCAAATTCATTTCTCAGAGCTGTCTTGGACAGGTTTCGTCCTCTGATTATATAGATTCCTCCCCAGCTCTTTGGTGTTCAGTTCATGTTATTCTCTAGAAGGAAGAGTTGCCTGATCTAGTAGTTTGCCTGATCTGTTGTTTGTACAAGTTTTAGATGACACAGTTATGGAACTGTATTAGTTAACTTGCAGTGTATTTCAGATTGCTTCAATGCCATGAGACTATTTAAGGGTGGAGTTGTTTGCAGTAGTTGGACAGGGTGATTCTACTGAGATTGTATTTTCATGCATTATGTTGTTTTGTTTTCTGTTTTATTTTGTTCAGTTGATATTTGGTCAGTGGGATGCATTATGGCTGAACTGTTGACTGGAAGAACATTGTTCCCTGGTACAGACCGTATCCTTTAGAAGTAATACATTTTTTGAAATGGAAGTTAGAGATATTCATTTTCACATACTTGACAAGAAAATAAGTTGTGTGTTTGGTTGTGTACTTTTTTGTTTGTTTTCAAATTAATGGCTTCTATTCCAGTACGATGAGGTGAGTTCTTGATTTTGCTGCACATCTGTTCCTATTTATTAGCATCCCTAGAATTACTCACATACTGTTTGTTTCTGGGAGTTACTTTCCTTTAAGTTTATTTAAATTTATTAGTTGAGTTTGTAGAAAATACCTGCATGGCTGTCTGCTGAGAATCCTGTCTTGCTTCAGGTTTCTAGCAAATGCGAAGCATCCCTTCTGGCTTTTCTTTGTCCTGTGGGTATGCTGTGAAAGCAGTGGGTTTGCAGATTCTTTAGTGCCAAGGTTCTCATTAAAATTGCTTTGAAATGTTTAGGTTCTGCTTCCACACCTGACTGTAAACAGACTGTGAGCCTTCTTTCACAGCATGCTTGTATTGATATGAAAATCAAGCTCGAATAACGTCTTTTCAAAATTATTTTTTTTTGGCCTTATCAAAGTGGACTGGGTAGGACACTTTGGCAAATTTATGAGAACAGTTTCTGAGATTTGGTCACATTTTCCCTGGGAAGTTGGAACTGAGACTTGATGCAAATTGCTGCTCTTAACAGCTTTTCTCCATTCAGGCACACAGCATAGCAGGGTAATTTACTACTGGCAAGAATTTTCATTGCCTAGAGGACTTCATTTGCCAGAGAAAAGTACATTGCCCACCTTTGACCAAAGTTTATTATTTCAGCCACAGTTTGTTTATTTTAGTACCTTTTATTAATTTCTTAGTATTTATGTCTGTTAATTCAAATATGTTAGCACTTGATGAAAAGAACACTAGCGTTGGAAGTGCTGGCCTTCTGTTTACTGTGTTGCCTTCAGAAAGCATCTCGAGGAAAAGGCTCTCATTCCAGCTTTGACACAGTAACCTCCCTTTTCAGTGTGCTGTAACTTTATCCTCTTCCCTATTTTTCTGGTTGTCTTCATCTCATAATTTGTCTCCATATTTGTTGAATTGATTGTATTCCACTCTGTAGTCATCTCTGCTGTATATTTCTGTTGTCAGACAGAAACTGAACTAAAACAAAAGTGGCTTCAAAGCTAGAAAAAAAGTTGCTCTCTTTCTATCCACTGATTGAGCATGTGTAGGTTGCTTTGGACAGATTTGTTTCTTTCAAGAAAAACTGAGAGATCAAGGATTGTTGATTCAAACAAAGCAAAAGTCTTTCAGCTGTTGCCATTATTTGACTCTGGTAACAGTGGCACTTTAGATTTTAAAAATCTTGACACTTGCAGCTAAAATATTTGCTAATAGGATTTGCAGTGTGTAACAAATCCTTCATGATGAGTTCTTTATGACTTGAACAACAGTGATCTTCCAAGCCTGAGAATTTTTTTCTCCAACTGTGTTCTTAGCTGTAAATTATAGCAAATAATATCTGCAACGCAAAATAGAGTTTACTTCTGGGATCTAAATTGTTTGCTTTGTTATACTTCACTAAGTTATATCTCCCAGCAGATGCTCGTGATTGTTTACTTTAAATGCACAATTTCTTCTGCAAATGGCAGCAATGCTTTTTAATTAAATGCTTTTTCTGTTCTGAGATTTAAGAAAATATGGTGAGATTTAAGAAAAATAAGGCCCAATCCTTTCCCATTTTAGACAAAACTTTGTAGTACTGTAGTTCTTACAGTTTGTGTGTGTGGTTTCCCACTTCAGGTAAATGTATATGCTTTTTGATTGTGAAGTTAGAACTATAAGGGGAGCAGCGTTGGTTCAGAATCTTGTTTGTGCATGTAACACTCATCCAAGGATCTAGAAAGGACCCAAGCTGTCAGCTTTCATCCCAGTTTTGCTGACATCTAAAGACAGCAAGCAGAAGTTAGATAACAGTCGGCTCTAGTTTATTCCTGTCTTGGAGGGCTCTTTGAATATATGCATGATTTTAGAAGAAAGTTTTTAAGAAATTTTCCAGGTTTAGACACTGCTGGATAGTTCTGGGCTCTTTATAACTTCTTTGTACCCGCAGATTTGCTGAGGCCTGTGTTCCTCCTGCAGTGTCTCTACACAACTGCTGACTTAGTGACTTTGCAAATACTATTAACATACATAATTCAAGGTATATTTAGCTTGCCTCTAGTAAGTATTGCTTGCCTCAAGTAAGCTTGCCTCTTGCAGTATGTCCAAATCCACTGCAGTTCTAGAAAATTCTCTTTGCAGTTGGAGGCAACGTGACTCTGCGTTCTGTGTGTTCAGGAAGCTGGAAATTGCTCCTATTTGACACCTGAAAATTTGAAATTCTTGCTTTTTGGTCTCAAGATGTTCATTTTTTTGACTCTAGAGCTTCACGTTTCTAAAATTAAAGAGACAGTGACAGAATACGTAATGACTTCTCAGGATGATCGTCCTTCTGTTTAGATGGTTCTTTTGTTTGAAGTATTGGTCCCCTTCGCCAAGAATCTGGCAGAAATGGTGTGATGTTATTTACAGTACATCACATATTTCTTTATACGGCGCAGAGATGCATCTGTTACTTGTAAGAAGCTTCAGTATGGGTAAGCTGTACAGTCCATTTAATTGGGTAAGTAATAAAGTTGTATTCTGAGATTATGATCTTCAATGCTGTCTGTGATGATTATGCCACTGATAAACTAATGCTGAACTTAATGTTCTGAAGGACCTAATCTGTAGAGATTCTGAACATGGCTGTCATTGATGTAAAGCAAGAATTGAGTTACTCTTAGGAAAACCCCCCCAATGGTTAATATGGTCTTAGCTCTGCAGTATTGTTACAGTACTCTTAACTTAAAACTGAATGCAAGGTAATTGAATTATTTGTATTGTAATCTATGGGTAGAAATATTTGGATGGAAGATGGACTTCCAGTATTGGTAAGATCTCTGCCAGGAGGCGGAGAAGGGGAGCAAGATTGTGAGAAAGACTAGTCAGAGACAAAAAAATGAGGTAATGAAAATCAGAGTCCTTTAGGCTTTTAGCATGAGTCATAGATAGAGGCTTTTTTTTTGGTATTATTGTATCTGTCTTATACCAAGATCAGTTTCTGCTAAACATGTATATTAAATTTTTTCAGCTCTTGTAATGTGAATGATTCACACGAGTAAGTAGGAAAGTTGACTCTTTTTGACAGTGTGACTCGCATAAAATCATATAAAGTGAAAATAAGAATATCTAGAACTGTTTGGACTAGTTTAGCCAATTTTGTTTTTCTGTATGTTTTAAGTTGACTGTATTCCCTTAAACTCTGAAGAGTGTTTTTATTACTGTTTCTATTCAGTAGTATGAGTCTCATGATAACTAACCAGTCTGAAATTACCTATTCTTCTATTATGTCTTATTCTTGCTTGTGGTGGCAGCTAAAACAACTTTGAACTTTGCTTTGTCTGGATAAGCTCTTACAATCCTATGATGTCTGCTGCTAATGGTGATGGCAGGTTGTTTTCTGAATTTTAGAATCACTGAGGCTCATCAGTCCTTGGGAGTATCTTGGAGATGGCACTTGGGGTTTGCATGCTGTGCTTTCCTTCTCTATGCACATGTGGTGGTATTTTTCTTCTGCTTTCTATTTACTACATCTTTTTCCTGTCTTTAATTGCTTATGGCTGATTTCTCTGGGATGTAGTAGGCCCTGTAGTTAAAGAATGCTGCAGTTCAGCAGGCTATAGATGGCAGGCCTGAAACTAGAAGCAGGGATGGATTTCGGCAGGCCTGTGGCAGTGCCAGTTACACATCCTGTGTTTTCTCTTGTTTATCTCAGAAGTCACTGAAGCATATTACACAAGTAACTTCCAGTAGTAAATGGGGCAGCAATATTGTGGGCATACCTGGTGCACACGATTTTAAATGCCTTTAAAGTAATTTAAATATTTAAACTGAGGTATGGCATGTGACTTCTGAGGCATGTTAGCAGTTGAAATTTACACAACTGTGTCTTGCACAAGAATGAATGAAAGATGTAAGGGCTGTTTTAAATAGCACTGGAGAAAAGCCAATTTAAGAGTCAGTTGTGGTTAGTATAGTGCCCTCTGCTATTTCTCCTAAACCAGTGAGTGGGTATTCTGACTTCATTTTAAGCATTGACAATTAAGAGTTGCCAATTCAGCTAAGCTAAATCCAGCTAGATACATTGGGTTTACGCTTAGGTTGTGAGTGCTTTAAGTAGCTACAAGTTGGCCAAGAAACTTGACAAGTGAGAAGTTAAATCAGCTGTTCTGACAAACTATTTCCAAGGCTTTTAATTAATTTAATATGTAAAACTTTAGACCGGAGTTTACATCAAAATGTGAAGGTTTTAGCAAAATATTGGTGATTTCCTTCATATACAGTTTGCCAGTATTACAGGAACTCAGAGTTGTTGTCTTTCAGTTTGTTTTTTTTAAACAGGTGACAGTTTTTGAAGTTCCTTGTAGTACTGAAATTAAAAGATACTCTAACAGGAAATGGTAGCTGTATCTTAAATCATCAGGAAGGCATTGATCCCAGAAAAAAAGGTTGTCTAGTAAGTAGACTACTTTTATTGCAAGGGAAATGTGTAACTAGTTTGGTATAATTAAAGCAAATGTAAACATTACAGACAGTCTGAAATCACAATGGAGGATAATTCAGGGAAGAAGAGAGATTTTGTGTTAATGGTTCCTAAAAAGATATTTTGTCTCCTTACTATCTTGAGTTTTAGACATAAAACAGTGTCTTTGATGGACCTATTTTTCTCCTCCACTCAATTGTACATTTTGTCACTTAGGCTTTGTTAAAGAGGACAGCTCAGACTGGTATGTGACCTGGTGGAAGCTCTGTTCTGGAGTAAATGTTCTTTGCATCTGCAGTGTTACATCCTGAGAGCTGTCCACATAGATACATTAAACCTGAGCCCATATTCTGTTTCTCTCTGCTGCTCCAGCAAGTCTGGAGGGCAGAAGGGGACGTGCAGGTGCTTTGGCCCTCCTGATCCCAGGGGCTGGCAGAGGTCAGTACCCTCTGGCGGCTGCAGCAGCCCAGCTGCTCTGGGCCTGGGAAAGTTGTGCCCCATGCTCAGGTGAAGCAATGCTGGAGGTTACGAGCAGGGGCCAATCATCTTCTTACTTTCTAAGTTTTAGAAGTGGCTAAATTATCTTGGAAGGTGTTCACAAAAGGCCTTGGCTTTCTTTTTAATATTAGTGCCTACCCTTTTCAGCCTTCTGCTTTACTTCAGCTGTCACTAACGCAACCTAATCCTGCTAACTGCGGCCACTTTGGTGTGGGGCCTGAAGGGGTGAAGGGAGCATGTGAACTGATCCTGTGCCAGTGGGGCAAAATCTTAGAGTTCTGCTCCAAAATAGTTAAGGATGCAATGCATGTTTTGTATGTGTAGACAAGATATTCAATCTGTCTGACAGAGAGATGAGTTATAAAGGGGTATTCAGTTGTAAACAAGAGGAATTAATATGGTTTGCTTAAAATAGATTTTCAGTCGAGGCCTTGGCAGGAATTAATTTTCAACATTAATAGGGTGATATGTTGCGCTTTTCATTTTGATTTCTCCCAGCATTTTCCTTTATGGTCCATCATTAGATATTGATCAGTTGAAGCTCATTTTGAGACTCGTTGGAACCCCAGGGCCTGAGCTTTTGAAGAAAATCTCCTCAGAGTCTGTGAGTTTACACTTTGATTGTGATATCTGCCCTTTCAGAAGTCCCAAGTTTGTGTGTTGTTCTCCCGTAGTCTCTCTGTAGTATGTGTTGGGATTTATTTTCTGTTATTTTAATTCTTTTGCAATTCTTTGCTCTTGGATGGCTTTGAGTTCTTATGCTATGTGTATCTGTTCTTTATTCCTCTTACCTCTGCCCATGGTATGATTTTGTCCTTTCATATTCCCATTTTACTGCTTTGTGACTTTTCTTTGAGTTTGTGGATTGTATGATCAGATATTACTGGGGAAATATTTTTCACAGCTAAGAGCTTGAGGCTTATCTCTATTATTACTTCTCCAGATTATGTACCCAGGGATCTCTCTAAATAGGAGCAAGTGTGTTATCCTGTAAACACACACAGTCCCTTCTGTGCTGTGATTAAGTCCTGAAACACTGCTGCCACTATCTTTGTTTTTGTAGCATAAAATGCCTTTTGGATGCCTGTATCTAGCAGCTGTTTCCAGGGCACGCAGCATAGTCTGCTGAGCATATAACTACTTGTGCTATGTAGGATGTTGCTATATGGGGCCCTTTTTATCAAGGTAATAGCAAAAAACAGCCATATTGCCATTTGCTATATTGTACTAATCTTGAATTGTGAACTTCTGCAAAGACAGGGTTAAAAATGGCCTTTAATTTTACCTGTTTGTGAAGGTGGAGTGCATAAACTCCGTAGCAGTTGGGAGTAGCAGGTTAATGCACAGTGAGCAGTGAGCTGGCACAGGGGTCACTGGCGGTGCTTCAGCAAGTCACTGCTGTTTGTGATGCACAGCAGAGGATCAGAGCAGTGGAGAGTGGGGATAAGATTTAGTGCTGCAGCTTATGTTCCTGTTCTTGTAACAGTGACTGTAAATACAAAGTGTGAGATTAGCCTTGGATTACATGTGAAGAAGGTAGATGTACAGTGCAAATTTGAATAAATTGGTCAACTTGCTGAATATCCTACCAATTTAAAAAGCCCTGGGATGTTCTGCCTTTGGAGAGATTAGAACTGAATAATGCAGGTTGCTTTGGTTGCTCTGTGAACTGACCTTAAGGCCAGTCTGGTGTTTGAAGTACAGGGGGACTAGCAAGAGACATAAACTGAAAGGTTGACTAAATTAAGCAAAAGATTAGTTTGCATATGTAAGTTGAAGTGGGTCTTTTATTATATTTATTGTGCAATAATAGTTAAAAATTGCTCTTACTGAGGTCTGAAACAAGAGTCTGTTAAAAAAAACCAGTAAAATACTGTTTCTACAATTTTTTTCCGTTGTATGGGGAATGCAAAACTATTACGTGTTTGAGGGCCTTTAGTGTGTCACTATAACAAATTGTTTTTCTGCTGCATTACTTTACTTGCTCTCACTTTCCCTGTTCACTGACATCAGTCTTATGCAAAGCTAGTGTTTTGCTAATTTTGCACTTACTGCTTGCTTTCACCTCGCCCACATATCAAAGTGCATTCAAAGCTGTTCAGGTGTCAGTTGTGAACCAGTTTCACTTCGCACCACAAAAAACTAAAGTACTCTCCATGCAGGGAGGAGGTAAAAAAAAGCTGGTAACCAGTGCAGAGGATACAGGTTTTGTTTCTGTTTTAATTTTTGTTCATTTTCCTGAAGCTGTATATAGCTTCAGCGGCCTAGGAAGAATTTTGAGGTGTAGCTTCAGCTGAAGGAAACATCTACTCTGATGGCTTAAAACTTTTGGGAAATGTGAATGCAACCATGTTGGAGTGTAATAGTGCTTTTATTGAACAGAAATACTTCCTGTACTGGCAGTTACCAACTGATCAGTGATCCTCCATTGTTTCAAGTGTTCACTAGGGTAATTGCTTAACTTCTCACAGGTAGCTGAAAAAATTAGTGGGCCCTGCCTATATGGCTTTTGCCTTGTGGTTTGCAGAAGAGATGCTTTGTATGCAACTGTTTTGTGTTTAAAATGGTTTTTGCACTGTTTTTAACAAAGCCCTTGACTAGGCACTTAAGATATTAACCAGCTTCAGCAGATCATGCGTCTGACGGGAACACCCCCTGCATATCTCATTAACAGGATGCCCAGCCATGAGGTGAGATCTGAGCAGATGAGGGGGGTTTGCAGGGCAGGTCTTCACTTAGTGTTCACCTCTTCTATAAATTCTATGCTTGCATGTGGCATGGGGTGGGCAATTAACTACCTGCTCTTCAGCAAGATTTTTGTACTAAATAAAGTCTCGAGATTTGGACAGTGCGTGCCCAACTACAGACTTCTGAGACTCGGGAGAGTGTGGATGTGAGTTGGTTTTGTATTGTGTGCCGTGTTGTGCAGCTTCTTTCTTCTTTCTTCTTCTCTTCTTCTTTCTTCTTTCTTCTTTCTTCTTTCTTCTTTCTTCTTTCTTCTTTCTTCTTTCTTCTTTCTTCTTCTTTCTTCTTTCTTCTTTCTTCTTTCTTCTTTCTTCTTTCTTCTTTCTTCTTTCTTCTTTCTTCTTTCTTCTTTCTTCTTTCTTCTTCTCTTCTTCTTTCTTCTTTCTTCTTTCTTCTTTCTTCTTTCTTCTTTCTTCTTTCTTCTTTCTTCTTTCTTCTTTCTTCTTTCTTCTTTCTTCTTTCTTCTTTCTTCTTTCTTCTTTCTTCTTTCTTCTTTCTTCTTTCTTCTTCTTTCTTCTTTCTTCTTTCTTCTTTCTTCTTTCTTCTTCTCTTCTTTCTTCTTTCTTCTTCTCTTCCTTCTTCTTTCTTCTTCTCTTCCTTCTTCTTTCTTCTTCCTTCTTCCTTCTTCTTTCTTCTTTCTTCTTTCTTCTTTCTTCTTTCTTCTTTCTTCTTTCTTCTTTCTTCTTTCTTCTTTCTTCTTTCTTCTTCTCTTCCTTCTTCTTTCTTCTTCTCTTCCTTCTTCTTTCTTCTTCTTCTTCTTCTTCCTTCTTCTTCGTCTTTTCTTACTTGTTTCGACTCTTCTTGCCTCTTCTTTCTTCTCGCTTCTCTTCTTCTCTGCTTTTCGGCTCTTCTCGCTTTTCTCCCTTCGCTTCTTTCCGTCTTCTTCTTCTTCTCGGTTTTCTTCTTCTTCTTAATGTTTCTTCGCGTCTTTCTCTTCTTACTCTTCTTCTCTTCTTCTTCTTGCTATTTCTTCTTCTGCTCTTTTTCTTCTTCTCTTCTCTTCTTTCTTGTCTTTTCTTCTCTTCTTCTTCTTCTTTCCTTCTTCTTTCTCTTCTGGGTTCGTCTTTCTTTTCTTCTCCTGTTCTTCTGCTATTCTCTTCTGCTTCTCTTCTTCTTTTTCTTTCGTCTTCTCTCTTGCTCCTTAATTTCTTTCTCTGTCTTCTTCTTCTATCTTATTCTCGTCTTCCTTCTTCTTCTTCTTCCTTTCTTTCTCTTGTCTCGTTCTTCGTCGCTTGCTTCATTGTCTTTCTTGTCTCTTCGTCTTCTTCTTGCTTCTTCGTCTTCCTTTCTTGTCTTCTCTATCTTTCTCTTCTCTTATTCTTCTTCTCTCTTCTTCTTCTTGCTGCTTTCGTTCTCTTTCTTTTCCTTCTTCTCTCTTAGCTCCTTTCTTTCTGCTTCTTCTTTCTCTTCTTCTTTCTTCTTCTTTGCTTCTTCTTCCGTCTAGGTTTCTCTCGTTTCTCTGTTTCTTTCTTCTCTTCTTCTGTCTTCTCTTAGTCGTTTCTTCTCTTCTTCTCGGCTTTCTTCTGCGGGCCTTCTTCTCTTTTCTACTCGCTTCTTCTGCGTTCTTCCTTCTTTTCTTCTTTCTGTTTTCTCTTCTTCTTTCTTCTTTCTCTCGTTCCTCGCTTCTTGTTCGTCTTCTTATTTTCTTTTCTTCTTTCGTCTTCTTATTCTTGTCGTCTTCTTTCTTCTTTCTTCTTTCTTCTTTCTTCTTTCTTCTTTCTTCTTTCTTCTTTCTTCTTTCTTCTTTCTTCTTTCTTCTTTCTTCTTTCTTCTTTCTTCTTTCTTCTTTCTTCTTTCTTCTTTCTTCTTCTCTTCTTCTTTCTTCTTTCTTCTTTCTTCTTTCTTCTTTCTTCTTTCTTCTTTCTTCTTTCTTCTTTCTTCTTCTTTCTTCTTTCTTCTTTCTTCTTTCTTCTTTCTTCTTTCTTCTTCTCTTCCTTCTTCTTTCTTCTTCTCTTCCTTCTTCTTTCTTCTTCTTCTTCTTCTCTTCCTTCTTCTTCTCTTC